GCACTGCCCTTATACTTTTTGGTGTGGAGCCATCCATGAAGTAATCCGTGACGTCCATCTCAGGGTTTATATATTGGATTTTGTGAAGAGGCACTGCTTAGGTCGAAGAGCTTGAAGAAAATTAGAAATGGCTGGACAAATTGAGATGCCGCGCGTGAAACTCGGAAGCCAAGGACTCGAGGTATATGTCAAATTTGCTTAATTCAGTTTCATGTTCAATTCAGTTTGTAGATCTAATTTGAAAAATTTTCCCTGCCGAATGAATCAAGAGATCTATTTGATTTATTTAATTCATTCTACGTTCTCTTTCCTTTTCAACTGCAAATCTTGTGTTATACAGTCTTCTATTCCTTGCAATTTATGTTTTTTGAGTATTTAATGCTTAGGCTAAAGTAATTCTGATGCTGACAAGAAGCTCATTTGCATCTCAATTCTTATGTTTCCTTGCCTCCTGAATCAAATTATGGCATCCTGAATTAGTCACAGTGAATTTACCGCCCAGATACTGTCTATATTTTGTTTTTGAAGCAAGTCTATATATTTTGTTCGTTAATAAGTACATCTATTATTGAAATAGTCCCTGAACTTTTTTAAGCATATATTGTTATTGAACATACAAAATTGTCTCAGTTAAGCCACTCATAGAAAACATTAGTTCCACATGTGATTGTGGCAACAGTCATTTAAATGTTTTGAAGCTTTCGATTTAACCCTCAATTCGTTCAAGTTAGATACTAATTTGGCTGCATTTTACCGTTTTGTTGAGGTGTCACTTATGTGGCTGACAGTGTTGGTGAATTGGCACTAATAATCTAGAAAATATTGTTCCACGTGTCATTTAAATGCTTTGATGCTTTTGGTTTCACCCTCAGATTATTCTAGGTAGATACTAATTTGGCTGAGTTTTGGCCCTTTATCGTTTTGGTTTGCCATATAAGTTTGACCATTCATTGAAGCTGCTTTATTAGTGCTTTGTCCATTTATAGCTAAATAAAATTGGGTAACTAATTTTACACATTTTTAAAAAGTGGTGACCAACAGAGTTTTAAACTCTGTTATAATTTGTTGAGATATGAGACTATACATAAAGAATTCTTGCAGACTGATATTTTTAGTACATTCCCATGACTATGTAAAGCTCTAGCAAATTGTTTGGCAGATAATGCAATCATTCATTAGTTTTCTTCAAATTATGTATTCTTAAATCTCATTGCTTCATCCAATGACATGCTTTTCCTCATAGGTATCAAGACTAGGTTATGGTTGTATGGGGCTTTCAGGTGTATACAATAATCCTCTCCCTGAGGAGGAAGGAATTGCAATACTCAAAGAGGCGTTTAGCAAAGGCATTACATTGTTTGACACGTCTGATGCTTATGGTTTGAACCATGCCAACGAGTACTTGGTCGGGAAGGTAGGTACTCTTTTGAGATACTTATGGCAACTAATAGTTTGATTTCCCGCAAGTGAATGGGGTTGTGATCAAGTAATATAGTAGTGTGTAAAGTGTCGAAATCACGAAGACTACGTGTTTGATCGAGTTAAAGTTTAAATTATTCCTTAATCGAATAGGAATTATAGTTTCTAATAAATCTATATTTAATTTATC